TGATCTTTTAAAGCTGACTTTGCTTTGATTATCTTGTTCCTGAGTAAGTACCGGGACAGATGTTTTAAGAATGTCTCATAGCCTCATAAAGAGACCTCTGGCTTCTTTATGTGTGTTACAACCTACAAGGCGTAAGAAAGACCTTAAAGTAGATAAGGATATCTCCCTAACAGTGGGGTGTGTGGTATTAGAAGCTGTATTCCCGGGAGAAAGCGTAAGTGATTCATACATTTTTCCATCAACCCCCAAATTGTACAAATATTACAAGGAAGTTCCCCTCCCTCCCTCCCTCCCTCCCTCCCTCCCTCCCTCCCTCCCTCCCTCCCTCCCTCCCTCCCTCCCTCCGTCCCTCCCTCCCTCCCTCCGTCCCTTCCTTCCTTGATGTGTGCAAGGGAGAGTGCCAACATGTGTGACAGTCAGAAGACAACTTGCAAGGATTGGTTTTCTTTTTACCATGTGGATCCTGGGGATGATACTCGGGTTGTCACCTGAGCCATCTTGCCAGCCCATGAACAGTCTTTAAGGACACTTGTTAGATCCCGGCTGCGTTTAGGGCAGTGGCACTTACCCCTGGTTTAGGGCTTCTGTGAAAGGGTGAGAAGGGGTTGTGTGTGCCAAGCTGAAAATGGTCCAGCCGCCTTCTGCACTGACCACTTTCTTAGCTGTTTTGAGTAGTGCTCAGGCTGCCACTTGGCTGGGTTTAAAGGCTCCTCCCTGTGTGTACACATACCAAGCCCACATCCAGATGCCCATCCCCCTTATTATACAGCCCATATCCTATTCTTTAGATTGAATTTAGGTCTAGCTGGGGGTGGGGCTTAGTTGGCCCAGCACTTACTGGGCATGTGAAAGCCCTGGGTCTAATCCCAGCACTCCAGAAACCAGAAATGAGGGTGGGTACCAAAACACAGGAAGTGGAGACGAATGGAGGCCAGGCTGGGATAGACAAAACCCTGCCTCGGAAAAGGAAAAAGAAGCAGAAGCTACAGTTTCCACAGTTCCCCTTCGATTCCCACCCCACAGCCAAGGCACACCCGCCACAGCTACCATCCACAGTCACGGCACACCCGCCACAGCTACCATCCACAGCCACGGCACACCTGCCACAGCTGCCATCCACAGCCAAGGCACACCCGCCACAGCTACCATCCCACAGCCACGGCACACCCACCACAGCTGCCATCCCACAGCCAAGGCACACCTGCCACAGCTGCCATCCACAGTCACGGCACCCCCGCCACAGCTGCCATCCACAGCCACGGCACACCCGCCACAGCTACCATCCACAGTCACGGCACCCCCGCCACAGCTGCCATCCACAGCCACGGCACACCCGCCACAGCTGCCATCCACAGCCACGGCACACCCACCACAGCTGCCATCCACAGTACGGCACACCTGCCACAGCTGCCATCCCATAATACAGCACACCTGCCACAGCTGCTGAACACTTACTAGTCCAAATCCAGCCTTCCCATAGGGCTTCTTTCTCCTTTCTGGACATGCATTCTGTGGGATTTGATGAATGTGTGGTGACTTGTACCCCCCATTCTATATCACAAAGAATAGCTTCACTGACCCAAAGTCCCCTGTGTCCCCCAAGAGAGCGGCCTTTTCACCATCTCTGTAGTTTTGTGTCTTCCGGAACATTGCCATTTTGTGATCAGCTGACACAGCCTCTTTGCAAAGCTGATTTTACTGAGCAGTGTGTGTTTCTCAGGCCTCCTGTGTCCTGGTGTCAGAATAGTACATTTCTGTACCACTGCTGTGGCACAGCCTGTGCATTCCTCTACCAGGCGCAGGTTAAGACCTCCAGTGAGACCCATATCCCTCGCAGGTTGAGAACCTACCTTGTGTCTCTCCAGGAGGGTGACACATAAACCAGAATGGGTTTATGAATAAAGGAGACTTGAACAAACCCTCTCAGGGATCTGCCCCTTTCCTCACTGAGATCATTTTTCTTCTCTTGCCTGTGGTGGAATATTAGCTTAAGATGCATTATATTTATTTATGCTGTGGAACATTTATTTAATGATGCTAAGATGTGTTGCATTATTTTATGTTGCATTTGTTTAACTCTGTGGAGCTGCGTTACTTTGCCTGCCTAAAACACGTCTAGTAAGGAGCTGAATGGCCAATAGGAGAGAGAAATAAGTGGGGTTGGCAGGCAGAGAGAATAAATAGGAGGAGAAATCTAGGGGAAAGGGTGAGAAGTGGGGAAAGGAGAGGAGGACACCAGGGGCCAGCCACCCAGCCAGCCAGCCAGCCACGGAGTAAGAAGGAAAGAAAGATACATAGAATAGAAAGGTAAAGAGCCCAGAGGCAAAACGTGGTTAGAGAAATGGGATGGTTTAAGTTAGAAAAGCTGGCTAGAAACAAGACAAGCTAAAGCCAAGTATTCATAGTAAAAATAAGTCTCTGTGTATTTATTTGGGAACTTGGTGGTGGGCCCCCAAAGAGTAAAAAGACATCTACCCTTGCCCTTGAGATAATAGGCTTCTTGATGTCTTCTTGAGGGGGGTTGGATACTGAGTAGAAAAGACTATCTGTTGAGCATGATGATGGACCCTTTGCAGATTGTGGGGGGATTAGGAGTCCTGGAAGATCCCTCAAAAATGCCCCCCCACAGCATGACAAAGAGAAAGTTGAGGTCAGAGGGGAATTTTGCTGTGGCTCCTTGGTGGTGGGACTCCTGGGAGACCTGGGCTGAGATAACAGCTGTGCCCAATCACAGAGCAGTGTGGCTTTCAGAATCTCGCGTCGGTCACCTCCCATACCATCTCTTCAGGGTCCAAAAGAGACACTGCACTGCGGGAAGAATGAGGCCTCTCTGTGCACCTGTGCTCACTCGTGTGTGAATGAGTGTGTTCCCATGTCAGAGTGCAGATGTAGTCAGAGGACAACGTTGGGGGTTGGTCTTTGGTGCCCACCCTATTTGGGGAGTCTCCATGTTGTTTTCACTATAGACACGCCTGCCTAAGCAGCCTGAGAGCTTCTGGGAATCCTGGTGTCTCTGCCTCCCTCATCCATAAGAATGACTGAACCGCAGACATTCCTGATATATGTCCTGCTTTGCTTGGGTTCTAGGGAACCAAATTCAGGCCCTCACCATTGCACAGCAAGTATTTTACCCAGTGAGCCATCTTCCCAGCCTAAGCCTGAGGCCTTGAGAAGTTGGACAGCATTGGAAAGGCAATGGAGCTACAAGGAAAATTAGGACTTGGAAGACTGACCCCAGGCAGAGCTCAGGATCATCCTGCCATTTGCATCTCAAGGGATGGATCAGGAAGGCTGCTGGCCTGAGTAACCTATACTTTCAGGGCTTGAGCCACAGTCTTCAGAACGTAGAAGCTAGTCTTGGACCACCTGAGCATTAGCCTGGCATTGGCAAGCTGGGCCAACTCCAGATGCAGAATAAATGAGGCCCTGGAGGAGTGGAGAGGGCAGCCTGCACGAAACAGGACTTAAGCCATGGTTTGACATGTATCAGCTCTGCTTGGATAATGGAAACAAGAATTAAGGAAGCAGGGTGGACAAGATGACTCGGAGTAAAACTGCAGGCCGACAGCCTGAGTTTTAACCTTAGGAGCCCCAGTGGGAGAAGAGAGCTGACTCTGAAAAGTTGTCCTCAGACTCCCATACGCATTGCTCCCGGAGGGTGTTAAGAGCTCTTAGCTGGGCCGGGCGGTGGTGGCGCACGCCTTTAATCCAAGCACTCGGGAGGCAGAGGCAGGTGGATCTCTGGGAGTTCGAGACCAGCCTGGTCTACAAGAGCCAGTTCCGGGACAGGCACCAAAGCTACAGAGAAACTCTGTCTCAAAAAACCAAAAAAAAAAAAAAAAAGAGCTCTTAGCTGTCTAGTGTAACCATCAACAGAGAGACTTCCTCCAGCAGCTGATGGGAGCAATGCAGAGTCCCACAGCCAAATGTTAGCTGGAGCTCAGGAATCCTTTGGAAAGCGGGGAGAAAGGGTTGTAGGAGCCAGAGGGGTTGAGGATACCATGAGAACAGGGCCCACAGAATCAATTAAGCCAGGCTCATAGGGCTCACAGAGATTCTGCCAGCAATGAGGGAGCCTGCATGGGTCTGCGCTAAATCCTCTGTGTGTGTTATGGTTGTGTAGCTTGGTGTGCTTGTGGGACTCCTTATGGTAGGAATGGGGGCTGTCTCTGACTCTTTCACCTGCTTTTGGGACCCTTTTCTTCCTACTGGGTTGCCTCACCTCGCTTTGATATGAGGGCGGTGCCCAGTCTTGCTGTAACTTGTTATGCCATGTTTGCTGATAACCCTGGGAGGCCTGCTCTTTCTGAAGGAAAACAGAGGAGGAGTGGATCTGCGGGAAAAGGAAGGTGGAGAGAAGAGATGGGAGGAGAGGAGGGAGGGGAAATGGCAGTCCGTCAGGATATAATATATGAGAGAAGAATAAAATAATAATAACTAACAAGATTTCATCTATTTTATGTGTTCACGTGTTTTGCCTGCATGTATGTGTATCACATGCATGCAGTTCCTGAAGAGGCCAGAAGAGGGCACTGAATCCCCAGAACTGGAGTTACAGGTGGTTGTGAGCTGCCACATGGGTACTGAGAATCCAACCCAGGTCCTCCGGGAGAGCAGCCAGTGGTCTTGACCACCAGGTCATTTCTGCAGCCCTTTCTAGTGATCTCAATCGACTCAATCACAACATTTAACACAACAAATATATTAAATTCCAGGACTACTAAAATGTTTTCAGAGACTACTAAAATATTTTTTCATGGTATGTGTATGTACATGAGGGAAAATGCGAGTTCACATAATTGTGTGTGTAGAAGCCTGGAACTGTGTATGTTGGGGTTGGGGTGAGCTGCCAGACACGGGTACTAGGAATAGAGCTCTGGTCCTCTGGAGGAGCCGGAGGTGCTTTAGCCCCCGAGATTTCTTTAAAATCCATGTTTTATAACTAACCCAGAAGTGTGTTTTATAACTAACCCAGAAGTGGTATGTGGACAGACCACAGGCTAGCGAGGAGCATAGTCTGTGATGTTTTAAAGAATTAGTTGGTCCATTTTAAAATATATATAGCTAGCCTCCTCATCCCCACGTTACTGATGGCCTTGAACCTGTAGTCCTTTTGCCTCTACCTCCCAGATGTGGGTGTTCCAGGTGTGCACCACCACACCTGGTCTGTGAAGTGCTGGGGTCACACCCAGTGCCTTGTGCAGGCGACGTGAGCACTCTTGTCAACCAAGCCACATCCCAGCCCCTCAAAGTGCATCTCAATGCCGTCACATAGCTGATGTGGCAGTTGTCGTCCGTCCAGCTGACATGCACTCTGTCTGTGTGCTTTTGGAAACTGGTTTTCCCACCGTCCTGCTGACATGCACTCTGTGTGCTTTTGGAAACTGGTTGTTGCTCTGTCCCTGTGACGTGTGCTCTATCTGTCTGCTTTCGGAAACTGGGACACCACAGCAGGAAGCCTCCTGTGCACCTGAGCTCGCCCTCTCAGGGTCAGCCATTGCCATCCGTGTGTCCTCTGTAGTTATTGCTCTCTCTCCAGATGGGTCTGTCCCGACAGCTTGGTGGTCCTTTTTAACCGTCTGTCCCAGTTCTCTAAAAGCAGCTGCTGCAGGCGGAGGGCCTCCCATGGCTCGGGCATTGGTAGGTATAGGCAGGCTGGCATCTGAAGGCATAGTGCTCAGTAAGCAACTTCTGGGGAAACTCTAGCATGTAATCGCCTCTCATTGCCAGGCAGCTGGCATGAGCTGGGCCCCATTAGTTTCATCACCACTCCTGGGATGAACTCTCTAGGAACACGCTTTGCCCGGTGGCCTGAGAGCTCTGCCCTGTGAGCTCACCCATGCTGGTGGGATGACCCAATCTTTACTTTTAGGGAACTATCGTTGCCACTGGGTGGAAAGACAGAAATCAGCCTCACTTCACTTCAAAGGTGACCTTGTTTCAAAGAGGGCAAATGACGTTTGGAGTCAGATTATGGGAAAGTCCTGGGTTCTTCGAGGGAGAACACAGTAGTGTCGCAACACACACATGTTTCAGGGGCTGGGGTGTGGCTCAGGTGCCAAGTGCTTGCATAACACGTACACGTCCCAGGTTTGGTCCCCAGCACCACATGGACCAGGCGTGGCAGTGCACACTGACAGTGTAGGGAAGATTACCAGACGTTCGGGGACAGCACTGTCATCATTGAGGGCAGCCTGGGATGCATGAGACTTTGTCACTTTGGGCAATGTAAGGTGTGTTAACAGTACTACTGCCTGAGTTTTGAGGTGAACCACACAGGGGCGAATGCCATACTGGTAGTGCCAAAGTGAGCTTAATGACCTTGTCCTTGGTTCTGAGTCGGGCACCTCCTGGGGTCTTCTCAGGCACCCCTTGGCCACCTTCTTCCACCTGTTCTTCCGCGTGAGTGCCATCATCACCTATGTGTGCTGTGACTGGTTCAGCAGGAGCTTCGTTGGCTGCTTTGTCACTGTGCTTCTCCTACTGTCCTTTGACTTCTGGTCTGTGAAGGTAAGGCTCCTTCTCCAGGGACACGTGGGCTTTGCTCCCAGGGGTGCTTTGATTTAAATTGTTGCTACATATTGAAGACCGCCGAGGGGCCAGCAAGATGGCACAGCAGGTAAAGGGAGCTTGTTGTCAAGCTTGGCTCCACGTATGATCCTTGGGACCCACACGGTTCAAGGGAAGAACCGATCCCCAAAAGTTGTTCTTTGACTTCCACGTTTGCTGTGGCACATGAGAGCCCTTCTCCTCCACACAAAATTCATGTTTAAAATTTCTAAGGATTACTGGCCCATGTCACTTACAATAGACAGCAAAAATGCTTCAGAAAGCAGCTTCCAGGATCAGATGTCACAGGTGCACAGATGCACCATGGGGGTGACAACCCCATATAGCTTTGTATATAATATATACACACACATTAAAACATATAATATGACCACCTATGTTATTTTGAGGCAGAGTCTTCTTTTTTTTTTTTTTTTGAGGCAACATCTCACTATGTAACCCTGGCTAAATCCAACTCACAGAGATCTGCCTGCCTCTGCCTCCCGAGGACTGGGGTTCAAGGCCTGCACTGTCTACCATACCTTGTCAGAATCCCACTTTTCAAAATGATAAGGGCCAGTATAGTGGCACACATCTTTAATACCAGCACTCAGTGGGTGGGAGGGCAGGGGGTGGGTGGGCAGAGGCAGGTGAATCTCTGTGAGGTCAGCCTGGTCTACCTACTAAGTTCTGGACCAACCAGTGAGATCCTGTCTCAAAAACAAAAAAGTAAGCTCAAAGACAAGAAGTCTGGAAAGCTCTCTGGAGGAACAATTACAATACAACATCCACCCTTTTCCCACTTTCTTTTTCATGCGAGCATGCACACATATGTTATAATGTACATGTGGTCAGAAGACTCCTTCCACCATATAGGTCCCTGGGAATTGAACTCGGGTCATCGGGCTTGGCAGAAGCATCACCATCATCTTACCAACCCCACACCCTCCTCTTACGCCTTCTGCAGTTTACAACAAGCATTAGTCGGGTGCACTGGCACACACCCAATACTCACCGCTCAGGAAGCTGAGGCAGGAGGTTTGAGAGTTCAAAGCTAGCCTGGGCTACATAGGGAGAACATTACAGAAACAACGAGCTCTCTTGTTTCTTACGTGCTCACAGCCCTTTTGCCCTCTTTCCTCAGAATGTGACTGGAAGACTCATGGTGGGTCTTCGATGGTGGAACCAGATCGATGAGGACGGAAAAAGCCACTGGATATTTGAAGCCAGAAAGGTACGCTCTGAGACAAGATGGACAAGAACTGGGGTAAGGCTGTGTGACGTTTACACAGGTTCCCTGAGTGTGTGTGTGCCAGACCAGACCCTGCCCTACCAAATCCTCTGCAGTAAAACTCACACGGCAGCAGTATGCAGTAAAACTCACAAGGCAGCAGTATGCAGTAAAACTCACAAGGCAGCAGTATGCAGTAAAACTCACAAGGCAGCAGTATGCAGTAAACAAGCAGAAACAAGTTGTTGCTTGAGAAAGTACAGTAGCTATCCCCCAACAGGCCTCTCCAAACCACATGGCGGCCACTGAAGCAGAGGCACGCATCTTCTGGCTCGGCCTCATCATCTGCCCCGTGGTCTGGACCGTGTTCTTCTTCAGCACCTTGTTCTCCTTGAAGCTCAAGTGGCTGGTAAGATGCACCTTGACCCCCTGCTGCTGTGACAAACCAGGGGCTAGAAGGGTCTGACTCAGCGGTCACTCTAACAGCTAGCTGGAGGTGACCACGCAATGGACACGGTCACCATTCCAAGGGTATATTCTGGCTGCTGTCATTTTTGCATTTATATAAGTATCATGACCAATCATAGGATTTTTAGAAGAGATTTTATGACTGTGTGTGTATGTGACTGCATGAGGTATGCGCAGCAAATGCACATTTCCTTGGAGGCCCGAAGTTGGCCTGGGTTCCCCGGAGCTACAGCTACAAATTGTTGTAAGCTGCGGGCTGGAGTGCTGGGCACCAAACCCTGGTCATCTGTGAGAACAGTAAGTTCTCTAAGTCGATGAGCCAGCTCTCCAGCCCATTTTAGAATGTTCATCACCCCCACTCAAAGGATATCTACACTTGGCAGATATTGTCCTCTGTGCCATTTCCCACCCCTGGCACCCACCTTCCTAAGTAGACTTGCCTGTGAGATCACACAATATTTGTTCTTTTCCAAAGTGGCATCTTTGACTTAGCACACGTTCAGGTCCAACCATACTCTAGTGTTTATCAGCACACCGTTTCTTTGCATGGTTAAATACTATTCCATGGTATGACGATCCCACATTCAGGTTCATTCATTAGCAGATAGGGACTGATGCTGATATGAAATTATTTGTTTCTGAGGTACTGGGGAGGGAACCCGGGGCTGTGTACATGCTAGGCAAGCGCTCCATTGAGCTACATCCTCAGCCCCCAGGGAGGAGATTCATTAAAAAGTATGGTATTCGTTAACAGACCATCTTTCTTGGGTGGGAAGGCTGACAGTACTCAGGTTTTATTTGGGAGGGCTGTCCATTCAACAGGGACACAGGACACAGTAGAGCAACTGCTGTGGGCTTCACAGTTTGGCTTCTGCCTCTCCCTCAGCAGCTCCATGGCTTTGGGCAGCTTCTGCCTCAGCTTGTCTCCTCTGTGTGAGCCAGAGGTTCCAGCCTCTGGGTTGCTTAGGTGTCCATGAGTGTTTGCTTGGGGCAGTCCACAAAGTCCCACTCAGTCTGCACCCTCCAAAGGCTTCCCTTTCCTTTGCCCAATGCAGGCTCTCGTGATCGCTGGGATTTCCCTCCAAGGTGCCAACCTCTACGGCTACATCCTTTGTAAGATGGGGGGCGAGGGTGACATCAGCACAGTTGCAGCCAGCTTTCTGTCCCAGACAGTGTTCCAGACGGTGAGTGGCCAAGTTCCTCCCTGAATCCTTCCTCCCAGGTGCTCAGAGTAAAGGGCACTGGTTGACAACTTCAGTTCCTAACAGTCTTCCTACCAGTAGGCTAACCATTATTTTCTATCGTGTATATCTAAAATCTACCATGTTGACTATTTCCAGTGTAGTTATAACTGGGCATGATGGTGCACACCTTTAATCATAGTACTCTGGAAGCAGAGGAAAATGAATCTCTGAGTTTGAGGCCAGCCTAGTCTACATGAGTTCCAGCACAGCCAGGGCTGTGAGATCATAGTGAGATCCTGTCTCAATAGGTAAGTAAAGAAATAAAAAGCACATTGGGTTAATTAGTTCTAGGGACAGCACTGTGCAGATGCCACAGTCTAGCTCCCACAGTAGCCCTGTCCTTTAGACACCAGCTCCCCATCGTCCCCAGCTGCTGGCACCCACCATCCTGTCTGTAAGGGACTGACAGCTTCTATCAGCAGAGTCAGGGTTTGACACTGTGTGACTACTGTGTAGTTTTAAGTGATATTTAAAACTTCAGAATTGGGGGCTAGAGATGGCTCAGTTCCAAGCATAAAGTTTCTGCAGAGGACCCAGACTGGGTTCCCAGCACACACATTAACAATATGCATGCATTCATTAAAAAAAAAAACACTCACACCCATACCCATAAAATTAAACTAAACCTACAGAATTGGCCAGGGAGATGGCTCAGTGGATGAAAGAACTGAATGTGTAGACCTGACTACCTAAATTCAATCCCAAGAATCCACATAAGCCAGGTGTGGTGGTGTGCATCTATTACCACGGAGTCAGACGAAAAGGAGATACAGAAGGTCATGGGCAACTAGCCTGGAGTACATACTGCAGACAGGTGAGAGACCCTGCCTCAAAAACAAGGTGGACAGAGAAAACTAACTCCACAGGTGTATCATGGAATGTGCATGCCTGCACATAACTACATAACAGACGCACATACCAAAACAAAACAAAAACCACACAGAATTAAGAATGACAAAGTCTTCTGTTTTATTTTGAAGCCAGGAAACATTTCCTTTTTAAAAAATAAGTTATTTTTATTTTATGTCCATTGGTGTTTCACCTGCATGTATGTCTGTGTGAGGGTGTCAGACAGTTGTGAGCTGCCATGTGGGACCTGGGAATTGAACCCAGGTTACCAGGAAGAGCAGTCAGTGCTCCTAACTGCTGAGCCATCTCTCTAGCCATGGAAATATTTCTTGAAGTGAAGGATGAAGGAGTTTTTGGTCTGACAGGTTCATTGTGCAGAGGTCAAATGCTGCTGCTGGGGCACTGGGTCTCTGGCAATGCGCTGCTCTTTGCTGGGATAGTCATGGTTCTTCTTGCCTTGCAGGCTTCCCCAGGTGACTTTGAGCAGCCCAGGCTTGAAGGACTGGACATCCACCAGCGTTAGGTGAGGCATGCAGCTCCTGAGCAGCTGTGCCTGAGGTCTTGGCAGACTCTCCCAGGTCCTCCAAGCTGACCTGAGTAGGTCCAAGATGGAGTGCCCAAGTTTAGGGCCTGACCAGAACCGTCGACCTTCAGAAAGGTCACATCTTCCCCACAGGGACTCCAGCACATTCCAAGAGTACGTGTGTAAAGGGGAAGGAGAGGACAGGAAGGACAGGGGAGGGGGCTGCCACCTTCCACTGTCACACCACAATGGTGTAGAAATTGGAATACCTTCCCTCAGCAGCTCTCAGTTCCTGTGTCTTAGTCTCCGGTCACGAGGATAGTCACATCAGTCTCTCAAAAGCACTAGGAAACAGTTTTCCTGGGACCCTGAAGATTATTGATGTCCTGAGGGTACCTATTACCCTGTGGATGACTTATGGGCTTTTCTGGGGGATGTTGATGGCCCCTAGCCAAAGCAGGATCCCAGGCTGGAGACTCCAGTGTGGGCTGAGGCTGCTGTCACTTCCAGTCCTCCCTCTGTCCCTCCCTAGGCTTGTATTCTGAGTCAAAAGCAGCTCCTGGGAGTCCTGTGACCCAGAAGACTGCCAGTCCGGTGGACTCCAGAGAGCAGGCCCTAGGGACGGGTTCAGGGAGAGTTTTATTTTGCGATGAGTGCGTCTGTACGCAGAGCACCTGTACCTCTGACCTGGAGGAAACGGGCAGACAGGTGATCAAAGGGTCCTATGGATGTGACTTCAAATCCTGTCTGTCCCCCGCTGACCAGATGTGGCTGGACCTGTGCCTGCAGGTTCTGTGGCTAGGAGCAGGTGGCATTGGCTCTGTCCCCTTCAGGAACTGATGAGGTTCTCATTATGTGACTGACGAGAACTACAAAACTCTTGGATCCCTAGAAAACAAGTGAGCAGTGAGCCTGTCACCTCTGCAGGACCCAGGATTTCAATCCGTTTTACTGGCCTTTATGGCTTGTATTTCCCATGCTATGAACTTCACCCTCCCTGTTTCTCAAACTAAGCATTAGCTCACAACATGGACACACGGGTGGAGTCTCCTGAGGAGCTATGCTGACCATTCAGGTCACCAGCACCCCTGCTGTTGCCAGTAACCTGCCCACTTCTCCTCTAGGTGACTTCCTGTCAGCAGATGTCCCAAACACTTACTTTGAATTATACTTTTGTAGGCTGCTGTGGCTGGTGAATCTGGGGCTTCAATGAAAAAAGACTGGCCTTTGTCACAGCTCTTACCTTAAAGAGACAGAGAAAATGAGACCCTGTGAAAGCCTCACTCTTTATGCTGGCTGTGGCTCCCCACCCAAGGAGAACAACGCTGGGGAACACAACGGAGGCCTCAGCTTGTCCCCACCCCCAGAAACCCTGCTTCTCTTTGTTGCTGCATGTGGCAAAGGCAGATTCCAGGCCCGAAGAACTATCTCTGCTGCTCTGGGTGGGCCAGTCGTCTGCATAGGAGATCCACTAACGAGCAGTCCAGGAAAATGAGAATACAGGGAAGGGAATGAGGGCTTTCAATAGAGACAGCGAGTGTGTGGGCAAAACCTCAAGGACTAAGAAGGAAATGCTGGCAGTGTACACACCCTGCCCTCTGCTCTCTCCCCATATCATCTCATCTTTATGGCCACCCACACTGGGGTGCATCAGTCGGCTGGTCCTTCCCATGTATATGCAGGCAGGCATGTGCGCATGCACACACACACCATCCCAGGACCATATGTAACCCAAGGGAGATATGGCTCTCTGGCTGTGAACCTCCCTTGTGCCCAGGTTCCCATGTTGCTACCTGGCATACACCAGGCCCTGCTCAAACATCCCAGTCCCATCTTCCCTGACAGGAAAGACAGCTCCCAAACTTGGGTGCATAGCCACCTGCAGCTGAGCCCAATCTGGTCCGGCTCCTCCCTCTCAGACTCAGGCACCCCACACTGCTCCACTGACAGGTGAGTCTTCATAGGCACACACCACTCAGACAAGCTCAACTCTGACCTTGGGGAAGCTGAGCCCCTGACTGTCTCCTCTTGCCCACACAAGCTGATATCCTGGGTGAGCCTGGGATGGAGACAGGTGTACACCTCTTCCTCAGTTCTCAGAGTGCAAATATCAGGATCCAAAATACTCAGCATGGTCCCCAATAGCATGTCAGTGCCCACTGAAGTGGCGCAGAGAGGGCTGTCTCGGTGCGCTTGCACCCTGCAGTCCTAGGGGCCTGTGGCTGGGATTTCATGGAGGTGGATCTGAGGAACCTGCCCCAGGCCTCACTGCTTCTCTTCTGCGGGTCCAGCTCTGAGCCACCACTCCTGCTCCTGCAAACCACACTTCAAGCTGCTAAGACGGCTGCACAAGCAGCGTGGGTCCCAGACTCACCTATGAGTGGATCCAGCGGCACCTTGCCCAGGAGAGGGATCTTCAGATCCTGGCACATGGCCTCTGCACCCCCGGTTGTGGGAGGGAAGATCTGAGACTCCTTCTGTGAGGCAGAAAGAGGACACGGTGTTATTCTGCTTCTGTCTCCTAGGACACTCTAGTTTCCAGATGTTGCAAAAGAGTGGTTTATTTTGGATGTGAAACTCAGGCAGACAAGGGCTTGATGGAGACCCCTCCCTTCGTGACACAGCAGAGAAAGCCGAAACCTAGAGCCCACCCCTGCTGTTTCCCGACTAGGCCAAGGGTATGCGCGGGCCCCTGGGCCTCACCTTGCATCTGGGGCAGATGAAGCCACTCATGTTCTCCACCACACCGATAACGGGCAGCTTCACCTTGTGGCAGAAGCTGATCTCTTTCCGGACATCCTGGAGGGCCACCTCCTGACAAAGTTCACAGACAAGTTATCCCACGGCCTCAGGGCACTGAAAGACACGTGTGTGGTCCAGGGGATGGCCGGGATGCTGTAGGTACACCACTAGAGTGCTGGGGAGCATGACCATGGCTTGGTGCTCACTCACCTGAGGGGTGGTGAGGATCACGGCCCCATCAATGTGCGCCGCAGCCAGATACTGGACGACAGAGAGGTGTTCATCGGATGTGCCCGGTGGAGTGTCTACGATGAGGTAGTCAACATCTCCCCAGTCTACATCTCGGAGGAACTGCTTGATCATGCCTGGAAGGGAGCAGGGCTGAGTGTATGCACACATCTCCAGAAGTATCTATCAGTCTGCATGAGCATTCCTACACTCCATAGCAGGGGCCCTCAACAAGTGATACTGTTGTCCCCAGGCAGGAGGTGAGCTCTGAGGACATGTTGGATGGAAATGATGAAGTCAGGGGTGCTACTATCATTACGTATGGCACAGATACGCTGCCCCAACAGACTCGTGTGACTGATGTGTCAATAGTGAGAGAAGGTGCTTATCCCCCAGCCATGCTTTCTGCATGACCTTGTTTCCCCCACACTGATCCACCAAGGGTTTTCTTCACATTTTCCTCCTTGACACAAAGCAGCCACGTGATACCACACTACAAATAACTTCAGGGTCCTGCAAGTCTCAAGAGCAGAAAAACTCGTAGTAGGTACTACAGTGTCTACACTAAAAACTGGTATTTCTCATACCTGATCAGAGCACTCATAAGTAAGATGTCCTGAGTTCCAGCCCCACTATCAAAGTAATAGCATCAAACACCAAAAAGCCCATGCATCAGGTGCTGCAGTCTCCCTGATAGTCTGGCTAAAGACAGAACCAAGATTTTGAGCCACAAGAGCAGAGTGACAAACCATTTTTTTTTGGTCCCCTCCAGATGACAGCATCATCAGGGCTGCTGAGCAGGAAACCCACAGACATCACCCCCAGGTTGTCCTCCACGTACTGCAGAGGAATGGGGATAATGGGAAGAAACATTTGCATGTGGGGAACAAGAGCACAACACATCTACATAAACCATATGTCGGTACTTCCCAGGGAATCTGGTTGAAAAGAACAAAGAGTAAAGGTGTCATGTGTCTCACACCTACACTTGCTCTTTGCAGCCTAGGTAAGCCATGGTGAGATCCACAAGAGGCCATGTATGGCCTGTGCCTCAACGAAAGGCCAATGAAACCAAAACAAACACCATCTCCTCAGGTGTCTAACTGAATGAGTAGAGACCTCACAATCTGGTCTTGGAGGTGAGGTTTGACTGGGACACACTATCATTCAGTGCACAATACCACTTCAGAGCCATGGAACCAGAGGCACCGGTCCATCGGGCCCATTATAGACAGAGTCCAGCAGTCCTTGATCTTACCTGCATGCTTGGAAAACAGCCTCAGTAAACATGCAAGTTGAGCAATATTTTACCAGCCCCATCTCCACCAGCCCATCAGATATACCTCACTCACACAATCCGCCTCCCCAGGAAGACTAACTCACCACTGGAGACCAGCCGGAGCCACTCTGGTGAACCTGTGGGAACATGGCAGTCATTCTTACCACTACACTCTGGTCCAAAGAGGATGGTTTCACACAGTGAGTCCACCACCTTGTACTCCACCACTCAATAAAAAAAGGTTTTGTAATTACATTTATTTAGTGTGTGTGTGTGCCTGTGTTTCATGACTGCACATGCAGAGGTCAAAGAACATCCTTCAGGAATCTCCTTCCAATATGTGGATCCCAGGAATAGAATTCAGTCATCAGGTTTGGCAATAAGCACTTTTACCTGCTGGCTGCTCGGTTAGCTCTTAGTGGAGAGTTGAGAGATGAAGACCTTATTTGGTACAAACTCTCTCTCCCTGTCCCTGTCAAGGAACCAAAACTATCCAAGTTCAGGCACAATTCTGAGGTATTAGAAAGAATGAGAGAAGCTGGCCAGCTGCTGCTTCTGCAGGCACATGTAAGGCAGCCAGGTCACTATGTACAGAAGAGACTCTACTACTGTGAACTTTAGTGACAGCTGATCAAGGCTACCCTAAGGGGGCAGCAGTGATGGCTCAGCAGTTAAAAGCACTGGCTAGGATTCCAAAGGACCTGGGTTCAATTCCCAGCACCCAAATGTTGGTGACTCACATCTGTCTGTAAGTCCAGTTCCTGGCAATCTGACAGCCTCTTCTGGACTCTTTGGACAATGTGATCATGTGATGTACAGACACACATGCAGGCAAAACACCCACACACATAAAATGAAATACAATTTTTAAAGCTGCCTATAGGGCAGGCACAGTGGTGCAGACCTTTAATCCTAGGACTTAGGAGGTAGTGACAAGTGGATCTTTGTGAGTTCCAGGTCAGCCAGGGCTACGCAGTGAGAGTTTGTTTAAAAGAAAACCTGGCCCAGTCAGTGGCCCGAGCCCTGACTCCAGAATGCTACTGGCAGAGGGCAAGGGCCCAGAGTCCCCAGGAAGTCCCATGGGGCTACTTCTAGGCCTGGACCCCAAGGGCTGTACTCTGCCCTATTTATTATGAAACTGGAACATAAGCAACTTCCACCTCCACATCAGACTGTGAACTCTTTCCATTTTCCAGACAGGATCTTGCCACACCCCTGGCCCCATAAACTGAGTGACCCCTCTGACTCACCCTCCCAAGTAACTGGACTACATGTGTAGCACCATGCCTGGCTGGATCTCTACTTTGTAAGTCATGCTTGTACTCTAAGTAGCCCAGGTCAGACCCAGGCTGGGATATGTACCGTTCAAGGGCTCACTGACTAGGGAAGAATCCTGCTTTTACTTCAGCATGGCTGACACTGCACATATGCAGTCTTCAGATGCACAGCCAAGGCCTTGGCAGCGCGACCAAGCCTAGTCCGGGTAAGCTTCCTATTTACTGAGGCTCAAGGCTCCTGTTCTTGCCCCTCTAGCTCTCCACACTGGGAACCCCTCCCCTCTCTGCTGAAGCCAACCCCTCTCCTGCTTTAGCCCCCTGTCCTCTGCCCTCCCCCATGTGCATTGTTTGCCTTGCCTGACACTGTATGTCTAGAATAGAGAACCTGCAGTTGAGGGAACAGCACTGCAGCCTGAGCCCTGCAGGGCCTGGCTCTGCACACCACCAGGGTCCTTCCTGAACGAGGGCAGCAGCAGGCATCCCTACTGGCATGTTTCTCACCAATCTCGCAATCAGGGTCTGAGCTCCCAAGAGGAGACCATGGCTCTGAGAGATTCTCTAGCTTCCAGAGTGAACCCAAGCAAACACTAGCCCCTAGTTCCTGCTCAGAGCTGAATTTCCACCTCTCACTTCTGCCTTTCATGAAAGGCTCAAAAACCAAGGCTTCTCATATATGTGGATGTACTTTGTATGTAATCCCAAACCCCCAAATCCACAGCTACTGAGGAAGAACAGAGGGGCTACTGCACATGCTCGTCCAAAGAGAACCAGTCTGGTTCTCTGACAGCCATCACCTGCTCTCCTTCTAAGCCCATGATCTTGGGAATTGATGGCCCACAGATATCGATGTCCAGCAGGGCGACCTGGGAATGAGAAGAGACAGCATCACTGACTGCTTAGACCCTGGAGTTATGTATACCACACAGGACACAGACATGGGCGACACACCAAAACAGATGGCCGAGTGCCCACTCTCTCATGGGAAAGGTATAACGTGGACTTCCAGGCCACTGATGCAGTATAACTCCCAGGGTACGGCATCCATGCAGTCCCCAGTGTGGAACAGGGTGATCTCACAGCAGGTCATTAAGCCACTCAGATGACGCTGAGATTCAGAGAGGTCTGGGAACTTGTTCAATGAGTAAGGAACAGAGACTGGACAGAATCAAAGTTTCCAAAGCCAGTGCTCTTCCCGTGACTCTCAGGCCTACAGAGGACAAGAGGAGGACTGAGTGGATTCTGGCTGATCTCTAGGCAAGCCCTGTTTTCCTGGGACCAAGCAGAAAACAAACTTTCCAAAGAGCCTTAAAATGAGAAGAGAGATCCTGGGGAGATAGCTTGGACACTGAGAGACCAGCTGGTCTTCAACAGAGCATCCATGCCGAGTGGCTCAAGATCTCCAACTCCAGTTTCAGGGAGATCTGGAGTCCCCTTCTGGCCTCCACAGGTACTGCACTCATGTACACACCTCTAAACACATCCTTTTATTTTGTGTGGGTATCTTGCCTTTGTGTATGTCTGTGCACCACATGCATGCCTGATCCATGCAGGCCAAAGAGGGCATCAGATCCCCTGGGGCTGGAGTTATAGATGGTTGTGAGTTGCCATATGGGAGATGAGAATTGAACCCACACTGGGCAGCCTGTCACTCCAGTTCCAAGGCTATCCAACACCTTTTCCTGGCCTCTCTAGGCACATGCACACATGGCACTGACACAGATACACATACACACAAGAATAATCTTTAAAAGATATGAAAGGAATCTAGGAAGTTCTTGATGGGGACTTAGGGAATCTCAGAAGAGACTGTCCCTAAGTCTGACAACTGGCCTGTGGCATCACTCGCTGACCCTGTGAAGGGCGGCCGTTCATCTTGAGAACTGGTGGTCTGGGAACTTTGGAATTTGCCCCGTGCTTGCTTCTTTCTTCCTTCTCCAGTCCTACTTCCTCTGCAGCTGGCTAACTGTGGTGCTGGTGATGGAGAGGAGGAAGAGAGCCTCACCACTAAGATCCCTGCCCAAAAGTGCAGCAGAGGGACATCTGCCACCGAGGATGGGACCTGGGTGTGTGACATGAGAAAGGACATGGAAAGCAGAGAACCTCCGCCGCCCTAGCAGGCCTCCAGCTACCTGTCTCACCTGCTCCTTCTGAGGAAAGAATTGCCCCACAAGTCAAGAGAAGGAACTCAGCCAAGAGACACCAGGATGCAATTCCCAGACTGACGGTCACCCCATTGTCCAGGAAGGCTGTGACAAGCTCTGTGTCCAGGTCTCCCTAGGGTGCTCCTTATGGTAGATGGTACCTGAGTCACCATCCCTCTCCTGCCTAGGTCAGGCTAGTGAGTGCCTGCTGAAAACGAGGGCTCTCTCCCCACTCAGGACCTCCCAGGAGTCCCTCCCACAATAAGTGTGGAGTGGAGGTGCTGTGCAGTGTCAACTCTGCCCCCCTTAAAATGTCAACTTTCATCCCTCACAGGGTCCCGGCTCACTTCACAAGAAGGCTTTCCTACAGTCTTGCCCGCCAGAGCTTCTGGCCTGGGAGATGAAGAGGTTGAGAGTCAAGGCACCTCTGGCCGGGAGCTATAACCTCAGGGAGGGGCCTCAGGTGCTTCCTCGACACACTCCGAGCTGGCAGCACTGATGCTGCTCACCTTTGTCCATGGTGCTCAAGTTCATCCACGGGACTTTACAGGAGTTGAGCACAGGCAAAGGAAGGTAGCCTGTGATCCTGGAGGCCCCTCCCTAATTTACATACACCTTCTTTCCTCTGCCTGGGGGCAGTGTGTGCATTCGGCATAGAAGCACTCATACACGTCAGGGCTCAACTCCACTTCTGTTGTCTTTACCCTGGGTCTTTCCCAAACAAGATGGCGAACAGCAGCTTGGAGCAGACTGGGCCACAGAGGCAACCTGACGGCTGGAGAAACTGCACTGCTGATGCTCACCAGCAGCTCCATCCAGTGCTGACCACATCTACACGTGCCCTGTGGTCACTGCCATGACGCTGCCCAGAGAACGCAGGCTTTCCCACCAGCTGCCTTCAGTTTTGAGACAGTCTCACTTTGTAGCACAGGCTGGCCTGGAACTCTTGACAATCCTCTCAAGTGCCAAGATTACAGGTGTGAGCCAGCGTGCCCAGATCACCATCTTTTTTAATAACTATAACAGCATAAAGAAATCCAGCTTGCCAGTTCTGTCTCCACACTGGGCCTCAGACTGAAGTCTTGACCAGGATGTAGTGAGAACACACAGTGGCCTGAGAACATTTCAACAGCTCAAGAGCCGAAGCCTATCCGGCCAATACACCTCAATTCCTGTGGTCGTTAGAACCCTTTCTGCCTCTCAGACAAACACTCCATCACTGTGCTCCAGCCCCAGCCCCTTGTGGAAAACACCAACAATGGGATCGAAAGAGTGCCCTGTACAGGTCAAGAAAATCTGACCCTTTGGTGGCAAGAGACTATCCCCTAACAGAACATTCAACCTGCCCTGGATGGCAGCCAGGTGTGCGATGACGAGGATGCTGTGGGACATTTCCAGGACACTGACTCTGGGAGGACTGGTGCAACCTCTCACCCAGGCCTCTGTGCCTGTCTCACAGAAGGGAAAATGGAGGCAGAGTGAGCACCCTTTATTAAAGCCAGCATCCAGCAAGGTACTGGGGATTTGAGTTAGTTGTCTGTTTTGAGACAGGGTCTCACTCTGTAACCATGACTAGCCTTGAATTCAAAATTCTCCTGCCCCAGGCTCCAAAATGGTGGGACTTACAAGCGTGTGTCACATGGGTGGTGAGGTGACTCCAATTCCATGCCTGTCTGTACACTTGAGACGAGGGACCGAGCACAAGGGTCATTTTTACAAGAAGCAAACAAAAAATGTTTTCTGCTTTATGGACAAAAACAAGAGTAATATTTAGGTGCTTACGTGACTTGAGAAGTACCCATCTAAATATGTAAATACCACTCTTAGCTCACAGGGGATGAACCAAACTACAGCTCAGCATCTGGACTTGAAGGGCACAGAAGGAGCTTCAGAGGGGCAGGTGTACAAGGGCCCAGTGTGACATGACCGGAATGTGAGAAGCCATGCTGCCAGTTGCCTCTGGGTTAGAGCACCCAGTGAAACACCTGCAGTGGTCAGGCAAGTCCTCAATCTCTCGGCTGGGTCAAGACAGTCAGAAAGGTTGGCTCCCTGGAGACTGAGAATCACCCCCTAAAGCTATCAGGACCTCTGGCACAAGCATACTCCCAGCACAGCCCAGGGTCCCACCTGTGTGTCTCCATCCTCTGCCAGGCCGTGGGCGAGGTGGGCGCTGAACGTGCTTTTCCCAACACCACCTTTCCCAGACAGCACCAAGATTCTGTGTTTCACCGTCTTCATTTTCTCTTTGATCTCCTCCACGGCTGCAAAGAAGCAGATGAGGTAATGCCATCCCTGCCTTGGTTCTGAGTGTCCATCTTCCAAAGGCTGGAAGAATCACACTCTTTAAGCCGTTTCTAAGGCTCCTTGTGAGATATCACTTCAGCAAAATACTAATAAATGTTGGGAAGAAAATATGGCCACTACCACATCTGAAATGGTCTTGTTTCATTTATGCATTGCCTCATCTACTAGAACATGGGCTCCCAGGAGGGTATGGTGTCCAAACTCCCAGCTCCTGAGCACAACCTTGCAGAGAGACAACCTAGGAGATGTTGGGGAATATTATTTTAAGGTGTGTTACTTTTGTTTATGTTGCATTTGTTTAACTCTGTGAAGCTGTGATTCTTTGCCTGTCTAAAACACCTGATGGTCTAATAAAGAGACGAACGGCCAATAGCGAGGCCGGAGAGAGAAATGGGTGGGGCTGGCAGGCAGAAAGGATAAATATGAGGAGAAATCTGGGAGAAAGAGAGTCTGGGAATGAAAGAGGAAGGAAGAGAATTTCTTCAGGGGCTAGTCACCCAGCCACACAGCCAGAAATGAAGTAAGAAGGAAAGAAAAGGTATACAAGAATAGAGAAAGATAAAAGCCCCAAGGCCAAAGATAGATGGGATAATTTAGTTTAAGAAAATCTGGCAAGAATCAAGCCAAGCTAAGGTCAGACATTCATATCTAAGAATAAGCCTCCGTATGTGATTCATTCGGGAGCTGGGTGGCGAACCCACAGAGTCTAAAGAGCTAACGAGCAAAAACAACCATCAAGGGAGCATCTGTCACCATCTGCAGAAATTCTCTGGATGTCACAAGGAGGGACTACTGGTGGCTTGTAGGATGATGCTGGGTGTCTGAAGCACAGGACAGCCCAGACGTCACCAGTGCCAAGGACGAGAAATCCTGACCGACAGGCTCACCGTTGGAGCCATCCCAACACCTCACTGTGCTTCCAACACCTCATCTTTTCCAAACCCTTAAAAACTACAGGTGGGCTACCTACTCTTCACGATAAGGCAATCAGAAATCTTGCTCAAGGTCAGTTTGCCTTCTCCCAGCTTCCTGTTTTCTGGGCCCCTTCTAGGCAGGACCTCAGTCCTCCTCGGCCTGGAGCGGGTCCTGCCGGGCACTTATCCCTGAAGGGTTTAATCTGTCTGCTCCCGCTTCTCTCCCCGTCTGTGGTCTCATTCTCACAGCTGCCCCTCCACTCAGACATTGCACATTCATTTCTGCTGAGGGGTGGACTCATCTCCGCACAGAGACTTGTGACAGACACGTGCCAGGACGTAGCCTCGAAAGACTCCAACATTTATCCACTCTCCCTCTGTGCCTGGCCTTGTGTATACTGAGGTCAGTGGCTGTCACTCAAACCCTTGCCCTGTCCTATATCACTTTTTTCTAGTCTATCCTTCCTTAAAGTCCTATTTAGTTACTGGGTTTTGTTTTTCTGAGATAGGGTCTCATCTAAGCACAGGCTAGCCTCTAACTCGCTAGATAATCGAGGGTGACTTTGTTTTTCGTATACACTGTGCCGAAATAAACTATCTTTTTGTTTTTATTGAGCCATATATTTTTCTCCGCGCCCCTCATCAAGAGTGATTTTGAACGCCTGATCCTCTTCTAATAGAGAAAACATGTTAAAGTGGTTAACAAGCATGTGCCAACACCCTCGGCCTAATGTTCACTCAGGGTCTTACTGTGTAGCCCAGGCTTGCTTCTAACTTGTGGCCATTCTGCTTCTTCCCCCAGGGTGCTGGGGGAAAAGCCGGAGGAACCGAGCTGACTTGAGGCCCCGTTTGGTCCCCTGACTATCACAGATCAGACTCAGCCTCCACTTCCACCACTTTCCTCCGCAATTTGACTGTTAAAGCCGCCCCTCGCTCCTCAAGCTCCGCCTACCATGCTAAGCCCCCTCCCGCCCCCACCACAGACAATTCGGTCAACTAGTCTCTGTCATTTATCCTTCAAGTCCCGCCCCTTCCACTTCCTGCTCCGTCCGCCTCCTCACCCGGGTCCGGAGCGGCGCCGGCGCCCGACGCACAGAGCCTCTGGTTGGGGCATCCCTGGCACGAGGCTCCTCGGCCCGCCTGGGCGCTGTCGGCTCCGGGGCAGCCTGCGCGGGGACAAGGGCACAGTCAGAGCGGCTCGGTCCCAGCGGCCCGCCGCCCACGCGTCCCGCGCTAGCTCACCGTGGGGCGCTTCCTCCATGCTGCCACTCTTGCCGGGGCTGCGCTCGCCGGAAGTCCAGGAGCGTGCTTCCGCCTCTCGGGTCCAATCTGACCCTTCGGCCGCGTGAACTGTCTCGCCAGACTGGGACTGCGCACGCGCAAACCCCTCTGCGCAGTGGGTGGGGCTCCGATTTCGGTTTCCTTCAAAGCTGAGCTGAGAAGGTCGTACGAATAGTAAGGGGTCTGAGCAGGTGAGGTGGCTCTACGAGTAAAGACGCTTGTGGAGCAAGTCTGACGGCCTGCGTTCGCTTCCCAGAACTCACGTGGTGGACAGGGAATGGGCTCTTGAAAGCGGTCCTCTGACAAATGCACAAAAATAAGTTGTTTTTTTAAAATGTCTTCTGTCAAAGAATCTTACGCTCTATGACCTCAGTGTTGAGGCTAGTAAAAGTACAATCTATAAATCTTTAAAAAAAAAAAAAAGGCTGGATCGATGGTTCAGAGGTTAAGAACATTGGTTGCTTGCTCTTCCAGAGGTCCAAAGTACAATTCCCAACAATTGCATGGTGGCTCGCAGCCATCTATAATGAGATCTGGTGCCCTCTTCTGGCGTACAGGTAGAATACTGTATACATAATAAATCTTTAAAACAAACAAACAAAAACCACTACAATTACGTCTCGATATTTATTTTCAAATAATCTGCCCTTCCTAGATTCCCTTGCAGGCAGGCTGGGACCGTGGCTCAATCGCCAGAGTGCTTAATCTATCATACTTGAGAGCCTTTATTCCGTCTCCAGCTCTATAAAAACAAAACACTTCCTCCTCCTCATCCCTCTCTTTCTCTCCTTTGTAGCCCAGGCTGACTTTGAATTAAAGATTTTCTTGCCACTCTTGGTCAAGAGGCGAGACTTTATTTACAAAGCAGTATAGCGCAGTGGTAGAGAACCTGTCTAGCAAGTGAGAAGCAGGGCAAGGTCTCATCCTCAGCAGGGCAAGGTCTCATCCATCCTCCTGCCTCTACTAGCTGCTGGGGTTACAGATGTGCACCACTGTAGAACTTTAAGACAATTCTGAAGCCATTTCTGACAACTCGCAGTACTTCCCCACCTCCCCTGGGAACCAAGGACGCAACAACTATGCATGCATGTACTGAGATGTTGGGAACTTTCCATCTGCCTGAATAGGGGCAAGATAACCCTTAGGTGTTGACTCGGTGACTGATGTTTTGACTTAGTCCCTGGGAAGGGGCAAAGTGACCCTCAGAAGTTTCCCCTTACCTCATCTGATCTGGCAACCACTTTCCAGCCAATTATTGGTAATAGCCTTTTTGAATAAGCCAATCATAATAGTTAAAGACCAACCCCCAGACACCCCTTCCTTCTGTGGTTTTTCCCTTTAAAAATAGCCTGTACCAGACATTCAGGGTCTTCTAGCCTCCCGACTGCTGGAAGACCCTGACATGACAGAATTAATAAAATCCTCATGCTTTTACATCAGCTGTGATATGAGAGATGGTCTCTTGGGGCAACTCCTTCTCCTTGGTGATTAGACACCAGGGTCCAACACCACCACTCCTGGCTCCTAGGCTAAAAAAATAAAAAGACACTCTTAAAATCTCTATGCTGTTAATAATAATTTGTTCAGTGTTTAGTTACTTTCTCTTCAAATTTGTTCAGTGGAACCTCTTCAGACCCACTCCTGTGTCCTTTGGTTGCTAACCCAGTTTCTGGGAGCTTTCTCCAGCTTTCTCTCATGCCCACGCCCCCACTGCTGTTGCTGCAGCCCTCTCTCTGGGAGCCTGGCTGCTTCACAGCCATGGGTGCCCATGGGGGCACTACTATATGCAGTTTGTTGTTTTAGTTGAGGAATTCTAAACTCTCATTTATCTTTGAAGTTATAAATGTTATCATTTTGCTGACACCACCCCCTTCCCGCCAAGGCAAGCTGATCTCGGGCTTTCTCTCCTCCAAACTCTCTCTTTGCTCATCCTTCTTCTGAAGAGATAACCACTGCCTCTCTCCCTTCTCCCCTTCCCCCTTCTTTTTTCTCTTTCCCCACTCTCCCCTCTCTCTGTTCCCCCTCCTTCCCTCTCCTTCATAACCCCTTACTCTTATGCCATTCCCAGTACTCACTAAATAAACACTTTACCCAAGCTCTCTACATAGGGTGTATCTGTCTGTCTCCCACCTGCCAGGGGACTTACCAAGGTTGTGCCACTGAAGATATTCAATAATTACATCATTTCTCCCTTCCCTTTCCTCCCTCCGAATTTTCCCATTTATCTCTCCTTGCTGTCAAAGTTATGACACCGTTTTTCACCGTTATTACATATTTTATCTATATCTGCATATACACACACATATATATGTTACACACACAACCTGTTCCATCTGTGTGGTAGTTTGAAAGAAAATGGCCCCCAAAGGGAGTGGCACTATCAGAAGGTGTGGCCTTGTTGGAGTAGGTCACTGTGGGGGTGGTGGCAGGCGCCTTTAATCCTAGCATTCAGGAGGCAGAGGCAGACATATCTCTGTGAGTTTGAGACCAGCATGGTCTATAGAGCAAGTTCCAGGACAGCTAGAACTACACAGAGAAACCCTGTCTCGAAAAACAAAACAAAAAATAGTGTAAAAACACAGCAAATCATTCCCAGTGCCTTCTTGACTCAGCTGTATGACATTAACAAACATATCTGTGGGGTGCAGGGTAAAAGGGACAACTGGAGCAGGAAACCAACCAATCACTGAGCACCCTGACTCTGAACCCAGAGCCAGTGGAAGAAACATACCCTGGATCTAAGACCTGACCCAGGAAAAGAAACATCTTTATCCCTGAACCCAGGGCCAAAGAAATACTCCCTGACTTTGAAACCAGTGTCAAAGAAACACACTTTGTCCCTAGAAATAGAACCAGTGAAAGAAACACGCCCTGGTCCTAAAATAAGAGTCAAAAAGCTAAGAAGAACCAGTGAAAGAAACACAGTTTGGCCATGAAATCAGAGCCATCTCTGTCCCTGACCAACTAAACTAATCAATCCCTGAGCAGGGAAAACTAACCAATCCCTTTTCTCCCTGGGAAAACTCCACCCCTAAGAAGCCCTATATAAGCCTCTCTGCCTATTTCACTAGAGGTTGCTGTCTGTCCATTTATCTCTCCCTGGTAGGGCAGCCAACTCTCCTGGACTCCTCTTTCCCAAATAAATCTTTCTCAAGAGTCTTGGGTAACTATCTTCTTTTCCCTGTGCAGAATAAAAGAACCTAGCTGGGACAACTCTTAGGGTACTGAGCTAAAAAAAAAAAACAAAAAACAAAAAACTTGTTGAGACATTCCCTTGGGGGGGGGGCTGAGCAAGGTGGAGCAGAACAGAATGGGAGAACTTTACTTGGCCACTCCCAAAGGGTGGCTGAGCAAAGAAGTAACAACTTTTAGCTGGAGCAGAAGCCAGATCTGCAGCAGCTGCTACATTTCTGCAGGGGCTTCCTTTTTAGCAAAAGAAGTAACATCTTGGGCTGGAGAAGTAGGGAGCACTTCTGGGATGTCCCCTTAGGAGAACAGAGCAGATTTCAGCTTTGGCCGCTCTCCGGGAGAAGAGCAGGATTGCTACATCCTGCGGGGAGATCATCCCCCGCCACCACAAGTCAGCTTTAGGTAGCCTGGCTTCCCCATAAGTCAGGACACCTTCCCTCCAGGGCTGAGCTGTCCTATTGCGGCTCCACCCCTGCAGAGCTGGCTGTCCTATTGAGGCTCCACTCCTGCAGAGCTGGCTATTTTGTTGCAGCTCCAGCCCTGCAGAGCTGGCTGTAGTCAGGATATCTCTGCAACTCCACAGCTGTAAACATTCCCCTGCATGGGGACACTGCTGATTGGAAATCTCACTCAAGAGAAGACCTTCTGCCTGGGACCCTCTTTGTCAACCAGGACTGTAAATTCCAGCTGACTGCCTCGGTTTACAGGGCCTCTCCAGTGGCATCTGCTGCCAGGTCTGATCCCATGCTTTCTTATCTTCGTGCTGGTTGTTGCTTTGTTCTTTAACTCCTGTTGCTGTATACTTAGTAAACTCACTCAAAACCAAAGGCATAGCTGTCTCAGATCATTCTCTGCATGGGACAAGCAAGAGACAGTGGCTTCTCAAAATGAACAACAGGCGCCAGTAGGGACAGATAGGAGGCCAGAGAGGGACTCATCTGTCATCAAGAGAAGTGACAAGACCCCAGGATTCTGATTACATCTGACAGAGGCTGTGAGCTCTTAACTCTGCTTTATTGCAGAGCAAGAAGCAAACTGTTCTCTCTTTACTACAAGACTTGGAAAGGTTCAGTGGCTTGTCACACAGCAGGTTCTTCTGGAACTTTCCAGACCATGGGATGATTTTCACTCCGCCACACTGCAGAGCCCAGACACAGGCCCCCTTGGGTTGTTCCTCACTGATGTCCCTGGGCACCAGACCAGCAGGGCTCTGCCTAACTGGCTGTTTTCAGTGAAGTCAAAGGACACATCATGTTCCATCAAATTCAACAATCAGCGAATCCTAGAAGACTGGAAAAGTGAGCAAGCGTGATACACTAGAAAGTAGCAGAAAATAAAGTTTCCTCTTCCCACCGAATACAAGTGATTTCCGAGATGGAATTTTCCATTCTTTCTTACTTAAGCAGAAGGGCAGACAGAACCTAGGTTTCAAAGCAGATTGTGCAAGTCAAAAAAAGTAAGTGGAGGAGCCAAGTCTGTGTCTTACTGCTGTAGGAGGCTGCTTGCTTGTTCCCGGCTATTCAGAAACCATATTATTTGCAATACTGTTTGGCCAATAACTTAAGTGTATTTCTGGCTAGTTCTTATATTTAATTTAACCCATCTCTATTAATCTGTGTATCACCACGTGGCTGTGGCTTACCGAATAAAGTTCATTCAGCATTTGTCTCTGGTGGGGCTCCAAGGCTTCTCTCTGACTCTGACTCCTTTCTCCCAGCATCCAGTTTAGTTTTTCCTCCCTAGTTCTGTTCTACCCTATCAGGCCAAGCCAGTTTCTTTATTAACCAATGGTATTCACAGCATACAGAGGAAATCCCCCATCATCTTACTCTATTAGGCAGGGTAGAGTTGAGTGTGTGTGTGTGTGTGTGTGTGTGTGTGTGTGTGTGTGTGGACCTGAGGTCGACATCAGGTGCTGTCACTCACATTCC